TAGGAAGTGAGGATCAAATTCACGAGATTGAAGATATATTTCAATTACTGTTCAGCTATGTTCGTTTGACAAAATCTTAATCACTATATAATAAAATTAAAAACTAATCAAATTTGAATCTTTAGAATTATATGTTTATAGAAACTAAAATAGGGAATGTTGCATGTAATCCACATTAAAACGATTTCTTATTTTATATATAAGATTTTATATTTTAACTATAATTTAAGCAATTAAAAAATGGTTACACTCGTAAATTCGTGTTTTATAATGATAACACGACCCCACAAAAATAATTAATATCTTTAAAATATTAATTAATTAAATTAATTAACTGACATTAAGACCTAAAATGCCAATAATTTATATATATTTAAACCATTTAACTTATACACATTTATCTATTACATGTATAATAAATATACTTCTAACAAATAAGACAAATGTACCTCTACATAATATCATTTCCCTTATTAAAGTTATTATAATTTACAGATAGCAGACTAAAGAAAAAAATAAATCGAATAATACACACACGTGTCGTTATAAGGTTGAATTTAAAATATTTAAAATTATAATGTAAAACAAACCAATGTTTTCAATAAAACAAACAAATTAAACAAATGACTAGATGAATATTTAAATATTTAACGTCATATCACTTCAACTTCGTTAATATATCATCGTTAAAAATAGTATGACAATGATATAAAATATAAGAATATGACACAAAAATGAATAACACAATATAATTTGTTGTACATAATACCAATAAATATTCGTTGTTTCTTGTACACAATATAATGGGCCCCAAGCATTTTTGTTTCTTTTTGCTTACTTTTTCAATAAAAAAAGTATAATTGAATTTAATTATATTTTTTGTTTCTTGTTTTTCTTTTATTCTATTGAAAAGAGAAATCGAAACATGTTTAGTAACCAATTTTAAATTGAAAAAAAAATTATATGAAAATTAAAATTTCAATTTAAATATTCAAAATTGGTATATTATATATATTATATAAAATATGTTTTATACATTGTTATGTATTTTATAAGTCAAAAAATGATATAATAATATTTTTATTATGTATTTGAAAAAAACTAGAAACATCGTACAAGAAATAAAAAATTTAATTTTATTATTTTTAAAATTTCTACACAATTTTAAAAATGTATTTTTTCTTCTTTTAAAATAAAAAGAGAGAAATAATAACTGTTACTAATTTTTTTAAATAAAAAATTTAAAAATCTTAACGAAATAATAAAAAACTCCACTCCAGCCTTAGAGCTAACGCCCATTATTTATTTGGTTTGGATGCAGGCCAAATTTTTTTTATTCATTAAAACTAAAAGAATACCAAAATAAAAAAAGGTAATTAAATGCACCCGGACTAGAATATTCAATCTTCCCACCTTAACAAATTTTTTGGCTTCTCCAACTTTAGTTTAGCCAATTGATATATTCTATTGTGACACATTCACATCCACATCCACATGGCAAATTTATTTATTCATTTTTAAACTAGAGACAATTGACAAAATTTAGAGCCTATGATCTCACCATGAATCGAAGAAAATTAGAGTTAGAATGAGTTGGATTTGTAAGGGAAATGCAAACAAAATCCTACGTTGACGAAGGAAGAACATGATCCATGATATATAGATGAAGACAATTATCTTAATTGATATGCTAGTAGTGAGAATTATATACAAAACGGACAATATCATATAATTGTGGAGATATTTAAGGTACGAAGGATATATAAGGGATAAAGAAGAGGCGAATAAAGAAACAAAACATAAGGAGGGACTACTATTACTTGAAATTTCTTATATTTGAAGAAACTTCCTCCATCAATGGAAACATTTTTCTTTTGTCATTCTCGTGGCTTCTATGGACCCACATTTTTTAATGAACTTCGATGATTTTTCTAGCTACTCAACCCCACTCTCTCCTTCGATTATTCTAGTGTGTGGTTTTGGCGCGACCACCCATTCGATTTTAGTCAATTGGTGGTAAGTAGTTTTGAAAGTAACCATGAGATCGACACATTGATTCAAGCTAAGTTTAGCGATAGATCTAGACTTTTTGTTTAGTGAGGTTTCACTTACAATTTAGTAGAAATAATTTACAAATTAGTCCACTCAAAGTTCATACATGGATTGAATTATTAATTTAATATATCAAAATTGTTGTTTTTGAATTTTCAAATTGTGAAAATCAAATTATAAATTATGTAAAGTAAGAACAATTGAATTTTGTTTGTGCTGGATTATGAAACTATCCTGATAACAGGTTCAGATTGAGTATGGTCGAGTTATCTAGAGAGGGCTATGTGAAGAACAAATACTTTGTTGCTCAAGTCAGTAAACACTCTCAAGATGAAGAATTAGATCCCTGGTACAAAATTATGCTCCTATTCATAGGATGAAGAAGTGGGTCCCATACAACCGTTATATTAAATCGTTTCTTGAATTTGTTACATTGTTACAGACAGTTGCGCACCTTGCCTCGACGCATGACCTTTGAGAAGACCAATGATGGTTCTACTGAACTATCGGGTATAACCTTGGTCGATTTAAATAGATCGACCAGTTAATGTCTTCGAGGTGAAGTGAAACGATTCAGTAAGACACTCTTTGGTTTAATGTCAATGTGAGAGGAGATATGGATTAAGAGTGGGAGCGCGAGGGAGGGGAGAGACAAAAGGAGTCGTCACTGATAAGAAAGAAAAGGTATTAGGTGGTTTTGGCCAACAACTATTTTTTTTTTCTTTTTTTGAGGGACAAAATACATTTTTTTTGTTCCTCAAGAAATAATTTTTTAACATCTGAGATTTGTAAAATGATTTTAAGTAGTCCCTAGTATGCTTTAAGAGTTAGTTGACTAATTTTAAGATGATGCGAAGATTAAATTACTGTAATAACTGATTTGTAAAATATATTATTTAAATAATATTTTATGGTTAGTGGATTATCTTCTTCCCACTTTTCTTTCCTCACTTTTCTTCTTCCTCCTTCACTTCTCTGGTGAACTTTGTTGCCGCTCATTTGCTGTCTTTGAGTCGTTGTTCACCTGCCAACCACTGCTCACCTATCGTGTGTTCTTTATTTCAAGTACGTGATCTTCCTGTTGGATTTGTAAAGTAGTTGCAAACAAAGTCCCACATTAACAATTATGATTGATATAAAAGAGAGGACAATTATCTCCATTAGTGATCTTTTGGGTGAAACCAAAAGTAAAACGTAGTAGACGAATGAGTGACTACTTGAGGAGAGGCTCGATGGTACTTTGTTCGAATGCAAGACAATTACCTCAGTACTAAAAGTT